TATTTATTTGTTGACAACGTATATTTCGGCGACTTACAAAATTTTGAAGACCTGAGCAAGGTCTTCAAAATATCTAAAAATGTTGTGAGCAAAAAGTACCTACAACACATGTTCCCATTTGTTAAAATTTCCGAGTAGTTTTTAGTTCTTCTATCTACTAGTTAATAAATTCTTTCGTTGGTCTTGACAAATCCTGTTGTTTATTACACACCCATATATACACAAACTCAATTATATCCGTGAGGTGTTATTACGAGATGAAAATTATCCTCATAGAGCACAAAACCAGGAGGGATACTTTGAATCGAACATCAATCAAAATATCCTTATTCCATCTTTTTCTTCTTTTTATCATTATGTTGTCTTCTCCACCCTCGCGGAAGAACAGTGCTCAGTGAATTGAGCTCCTAGTACTCATAGGCATCTGTTCCTTAAATGGTGCACACCTAGCAGTTAGAAGTTTCGTCTCCTTCTATAAGATGCGTTCTAAGATGGCACGTGCTCAGGCCGAGAGCCCAGCTTTGATGCTGCGGCATTAAGGCTAAGATTCATGCCTTCGTCAGATTAGAAATTCTCAATACTGTCAGCCTCTTTGATTTCCGCTGCCGACTTTTTGAGTTTTTACCATGACCTTTGAGTCCCGCGCAAATAGGAAATAATACGAATAGAAAAATTCACCTCACGTCTTCTGGCATTTATATTATACCAAGTGCATGTCCAGGCTTACGCAGGCGGTCACTCCACACGGGAATCGAAAGTAATAGGTCACGAGTATCGTCGGCTTCCGGTCGGGTCCCTCCGAGTGCCGGAGCTTTGTTGACTGACGTACTATTTGTCCTTTCACCCTATTGCCGGCCCGCTCCTAATGCCGTCTGATTAATTTTTCTTTTCGGGCGAAATTTCCCACGCCGCACGAAAGAAAGTCGGTTTACTTTTCTCCTATTCTTCCTATATTACTTCTTATTTTTCAAAGGGAGTCGGCCGAGCGGAGGGCGCCGCTAACCCCCCCACACGACCCACGCAAGACCCGGATTTCTTAAGACGGCACACTTTTTCTGTATTATCCCGTTATATGAGAAATTGGCAAATAACTTTGTTCCTTAAGAAATTGCGCGACGACGTTTGATTGACGAAAATCCTATTGAGGTGATTACACGGGATTTTGAGAAAAAAGCACGCCAACAAGAAAGACAAGAAAATTGGACAAACTTTTAAAAAAACCTAATAAATACTCTTTTTTTTTTTTAAATTATAAAAAAACTGCATAACTCTTGGCACTATAGCTCCTTATTTCCACCAACTGTTATCGATTAACTGATTTTCTATAATAATATCTTTTGATTTTTGGTTCATATAAGGAGACCTGAAATTGAACCATGCGGAGCACTGGGAGTTTCTGAACTAACTGAAACTGAATTTTCTCCCAGCAATAACCAGATAGTGACACTGACTGACGCTATTTTCATAAATTAATGCTTTAGGTGAAAAAAGAAAAATTTCGTTTCATGGTTGATTTTTGAGCATTAAAAGCTATTTCAAGTACCTTTCAGGATCCGGGAACGCATCTGGAATGAAGTTCGAAATGTGAGTCTAAAAAAAAACGTTTTCAAAGGCTCTCTCGAAAAATTGCCATAGGAAATTAATTCCCGGCGACCAACTGCGGAAGACAGAGACCAAACTTCGGGAATGCGGAATAATTTCGATCTAAACCCGTTGCTTCGCAGAGCAAAGTTTTCTTTTCGAACAGAAAATTACTTACAGCTTGATCAAAGAAACCTGCTGTCACCCTCTTCCGGTCGCGTACCTTTTCAAACTATTCTCCTAGTAAAGGGGTTTTTATTACGAGTCAATTTTTAACTCGAAAGTCCGACCAAGATTTTCATGGCCGAAGGTTTCGTTTAACGGTGAAATTTAAGTCGAGAAAAATAAACGATAATCATCACTGGAGACGCTTGAAAACTCTGCCACCTAACGGATTATATTTTCTTATGAGTTTTAACTTCTTTTGCTGCACATTTATTATTTACACTTTATATTTTTTCAAACCACGGCCAGTTTGGTATAAAATAAATGTCATAGTAGGGTTCACTGTAGTTCACGCATAGCTTGAATTAACAAACAATTAACAAAAAAATGTCAGTATTCCTGAAGTAAAGAAGGAAACCTTTTGTTCATCTTTATTATGAAGTATCAATTTTACAACCAATTTTTTGACAATATTATATCATAGAAGCTAAAATATATTTTGAATTATTCTAATAGTAGTTAGTATTTCATCCAATTTTGGTAAGAATATTAAATTTATCAACACATCTTTCTTTTGATATATCACGAACAACTCATCTAAAATATTATAATCTAGTGATGACTCGTTGATTTTTTACGTTACTATCTTATATCTATAATCAGGATGATAAGCCGCTGTGGGGGAGCGGATCACTACCACAATGATTGTTTGACTTGGATGACACGAGAAACATAATATTCTGTGACTGACAAGATATTACGACCTTGTCACTACACTTTTTGCATATAAATTTTAAAATAGCCGCCGCCGGCCTTGAAACTTCTTGATATAAAAAAAAAAATAATAATTAATGCAATTTAACACAGTATTCAAAAATGTTCATTAAAGTATTAATCACTAGTTTGTTAAAGGAAACTTAAACAAAGTCGAAGTAGAGTGAATCTTGCCGTCGGAACCCCGATGCAGTGCTGCCACTCTGCCAAGACTCCATAACTTGGGAGGCAAATTATCTTCGTATAAAATTACAAATTGTTCAAGACATTTAAAGACATTTCAAAAAACCTGCCATTTATACCTTTGTTGTAAGGTATGGAGATAATCTCTGAGCCATTTGTTCTTTTGCATGCATTGAGAAAAGAGTTTGTTGACATTTCTGTCACCTATTCTACATGTACTGCCTTGGAGGCAAGACAGATAAAAATACATATTATAGACGTAAGAACCGGCGTAATCGCTTCCACATACAGAAAGCATAATTGAAATAATGGTAAAAACCATAAAGACTTTTGTCGGACCTGTAAATAGTATATTATGCAACAAGTGACTTAAAAAGTTTACCGAACGTGTTGCATACTATATTTTTTCTATGACCGTTAGTTTTTGGGTACATTTTCGCAAAACAACACGAATACATTCACTGACATGACCGTCAGAATTGACAAACGTCAAAATTCAAACCGTGCGGTAAAATTTCCGAAAACAGGCGATTGCTAAAACCCGTCCGATAAAATCGCGGAAATGTCCGAAGTGGCTCAGATATGTGGGAAACAAAACTGACGTGGTAAAGTGACGCTTCCCGCACGCTAGATTGGTGTATAATTAGGCATTTTACAGACGGGAGTGGACTAATAACATTTTTAACATAACTTGGCACCGTACAAGTTTTGTGAATCATAGGAATGAAATTTCAAACGGATGCTTTCGTACTCTGGCTTATTGAATTTAAATCTCGAAATCATTTCTACAGTTTTCTAGATCTATCTGATTTTCTCTCAGATTTATTTCAAGATTCAGTTTAGGATTGTACAGGATGTGGCAAGTTACGTTCTTGGTTGTTCTTCGTGTAAAATAACGACTATATAATGATGTCAAAAAGCACTATAGCGTTTCAGCAGGCTATAGGAAATCCCAGCGTTTAGTCGGCACTTGCTCGTATCATTAATCCGCATTTGCTGTAGTCGAATGAGAATTCACTTCATTAATTCCGGGACAAGCAATAACTCAAAACAAAATGTCGCCGTTTTTCTGCGCGAGACCGCCGCCGAGGTCTCCGTAATTCGTTGAATCGGTGAATTACGTGGTCGAAGTTACGACTTAATTTTCCAACTGTAATTCTGCCAAATATGTATCTTGTTTGATGCCAAGTGCCGCTCCGGGATCCGGAATATAACTCACGGTGCCGCATCCCGGCGCATATGAATCTATTTTCCACCTCTCTGCCTTCCGCATAAACGTCTTTTAACATTGTTTGCAGAAGTTTAAATTCGGATTATTCCGCACTGAAAACGTCGAAACAAAAGGCCTTTTTCCCGAAGCCAGGCTACGGACCAAGAAAATGTACACATTTGCCTCAAAGGGATGGTTTCGGTCGGAGGAATCACGGCAAATTTGTGTAAATGCGCAAGGCGCACCTTGAAATTTAAATATCCTCCTTTCTTTGAAACTTTGGTGAAATATGCTAGAATATTTCCACTAAGACGAAATAAATTTACCCAGGTGTTAGTGGAGATAGTTCTCGTAAATTAAGAAATATTTCTAAATCGTCCAGCCACAAAGTATAGTGGGATAATTTTTCCAAATGCGTGATTCTGCGGAATCCTCATCCCCACTGTAGGTTAGGGCAACATTGAGTATAGCACACAGTTTGTAGAACAGCCTTGTGGTAGGTGGAAAACCAGTTAAATACTATTTCTGTAGGAGTGAAAATTATATCGTTTTCCCAGAAAAATAGATATCTAAAAAAATTAAAACTATTTACAATTCCAAGTTAAAATACCGCATTGCAATGTATTTTGTTTTGCAATATTTCGGGAGCTAACTTTCTTTTTTAACTATTATTTCCTTCTTTCACAGTGAATCCAAATCTAACTTTCCTTTCATTTCTATAAAATAAGAACAGTCTCCCTTATTTTTAAACTGTCACTAATCCTTCCAATTTCAAGACAGTTTGATCAGCGCACTTTCGTGAACCAAAATGTATTAAGTTAAAATGTAAAGTCGAACCCACCAGTAACAAAAATCTCATTGCTGTACTTTTTGGTGCATCAGTTGACTTGCTGTATGTTGTACCACCTTACCGATCTCTATCTGGAAATGGAGTGTTCATGACAGTGTCTTATCCAAAATTATGATATTTTCGAATGGATAAAGTTTTAGTTTTATTAAATTCAATCTGGACTTTTTTAGCAACTTGATAGTATAGTTCCTAGGACTTTCAATTGTTTTATAGATTGTAGCTGGTTGTGAGATGAATAGAAGTTTCATGCTCCTCAAAATACAAAATGCTATGGGCTATTGTTAACTTCGCATCGTTTATTGGTTTACAGCGCGAATATAGAAATGTCTGCAACGACTCTAGCGTCGCGTCTGCCAAAATAGCAGACTAGCCGCTACAGTCGCCGCGATTGGTTATAGTAAATGTAATAACTTCGTGTTTTTGGAGGGAAAATGAATTAATAGGACAAAATCGCAATTTATATGATCCAAAGAATAAAATAAAAAATATAAATATATAAAAACTAAAGTGGAAATATGTCGCATTGTTGGTGAGCTGGAATTCGTGGAGCTGAGGCTGAACCCTCCCCTATTACAGGAATATCCCAAGGTCACGATTATTCTTCAAATGAAAGTTTGACTTTTCCCAATTTAAGTTAAATATGATATATACTAAATAATATAAATACGTACATAGAAAAGCAAATATATTTATTTAAGTTAGTGTTACTCCTAGTTTCAATTGTGAGCTTACTGAACATTTAAGTAGTCCACATGAGTGTTTTTTTTTAAATCATCCTCAATCAGAGTTAATAAAAAATTGAATTGATTGATGTCGAAAAAACTTTACTTTTACTTTCTTCTTGTAATAGACGTTTCCGAACTAACATGTCTCCGTAAAGGATACGCAAGCAATAATAATAATAATAGTTCTGCTTTCTCTTCTTCTTCATTTTCTAAAGCTTCCCATACGAAGGAGATCGTCGCTCTATATAGCGTATGGACCCAACATATCTCACTTATGCCACTTCGCTCCTTCGACGGATAGCACTTGCCGCGTTCCTCTGTCTTGCCGGCTTCCAGTATCCCAGTTCCTGCAATTTTACCGCTTTCCGTTCCTCGAACCCAGTCTTTAATCATTAACTCACCCCAGCCTTTGCTTTACTCGGAGGAGCGCCGACATACCAAGATCACAAAAACTGTTAATTTCAGCATAACCATGGAAAGAAAGAAATCAACCCAAATGAGATTTAGAGTAACAACTGACACTCCGTAAGTACAATTGTTCTGGATTTCTCCTGTCTTGTTGACGATGAAGCAAACATGCTACTTGCTTCTCCACAATGCTGCCCGCACCTGAAGAGGCCAGCAGCATATTTGGCAAAACGTTAGTTTAACAGAGTCAATACCCGGCCAAAGTATTGTACTTACCTGTTTCACAGCCTGCGGAAGTTTCATTGAAAAAAAAAACTGACACTCTGTCGGAGGCTAGCTATAGCTACTTGCATGCTACTGATGAACACAACAAAGTAAAATTGTGTTTCAGTTCGCTTCTGGTTAGCAGCTCTTAATTAGTATCTATCCTCTCCATCATTTACTTAATTACTCAGACTTATGAAGACCAAGAAATTTTCTTCTTTACTTTACCAGTTTTTAAGTATACAAATTTCTACAAAGCTCAGCAGTTCCTCATTCTCTACGCGTGAAATGAATCTTCACAAAACGATTTGCGTCGAAACAACAAAAAGTGATTAAAGCAGGGGGACACACAAGGTAGACAAAACGACGGATCTTTAGCCACTCTTATCGCACAAAACCGAAGATAAACGCTTCGCAGCCGATGGCCAAGGTAAACTATAACCTCGGATTTCTGTCGCTCTTCGCTCCCGAGTCCCGCCGAACGGTCGCGGCGACGCACGAACGGACCGCCATTTACCGAAACAGACAACCGATTTCGGTTTCTCTTATTCGCTCCATTTTCCAGTTCGACGTGAACGGCGAGACGGGAAGGTTGTGCTGGTTTGCGACGCGTATTCGTCACGACATAAACAATGCCCATCGGACATGTTTCCGTAAAATCGGTGAATAAAACTTGTACTTTTCCGACGAGATCACAACGCCACGCTTAAATGCTCGCCGGACACGGTTTTCGGTTTTGTTGTTTTCTTTTGCGCGTTTTCGTCCCCAACCAGAAGCCGGCCGTCAAACAAACTGTTCGACATTAGCCAGACAGAGAGCGCAGCGTAGAAAATCCAATTAACTGACAAATAAATTTTCGTTTTTATCCCGGGTTTTGTGTTTAGTGACCACGTGCAAACATGATTGCCGGCAAACAAAATAAAATGACAATGGCTAAATTTATTTGTGCGTCCGTATTCATGGATTATTTGCTTTTAGTAGTGGTGGTAACTGGCGATTTTGAAAACAGCTGGACGATGTACATGGAACAACCGTGTTGTTCCGGTAACGCTAACCACCACGTCAGGCATCATAGAGGTAAGAAAATGTCGGGCCTGTTGGTACCTGAGGTTGGGTTCTTTCCTTCGCCCATACGTTGAATTTCGAATTCGATTTCTTATACCTTTCGGTATTCGTCGAAACCTTAACGGTATGTTTACGTTTTGATAAATCTATCCGCCTTAGGGTTATTGACATGGGTTTAAGTCGTAGTGTACACCTATATGGGGATCAAATTGTGAGACTTCATTCTGTGTACGTACGCGTTTCTATTGCAATAGATTTTTGAAAATGAGTTTTAGCGTTTATACGCACGTACTTGCAATGAGAAATACGCAAATCACAATTAAAAAAGAAAAACCCCAATTATTTTTCAAAATAAAAAACCCCTGGAAAGGCATTTTGAAAACAAGGTTTGATTCGTCGTGGAAATATTTTGACAAAGTTAAAATTGGATCAGACTAAGACGGATGATTCATACCTATATGAGGACCAAATTGTGAGAATTCATTCTGTGTACGTACCTGTTTCTTTTTATAATAAAATTTTGAAAATGCCCTTTAGCGTTTATGGGCACATATTTCCAATGAGAAATTGGGAAACTATACTAAAAAAAAAAAGAAAAACCACAATTATTTTTCAAAAAAAAACATGAAAAGAAGTTTTGTCAACAAGGTTTGATTCATCGTCTCAATAGCACGACAAAGTTAAAACTGGATCAGACTAAGACAGATGATTCTATTTTCTATTACAATAGATTTTTGAAAATGAAAATCAGTTAGCAGATTTGGTGCCAGTTGCGAGGGAAAGTCTTATCAAATATGCAAATTTAAAATATTAACCTTCCCGAGGGTTTACTCGCCATCAACTTTTACAAATTTTGTTGCGGTTATATGTTATACTTCGAATATTCCAAACAAAAAGTTGAATGTTAAGTCTTTGCAAAAAACGTCACTTTCGAACTTTTTTACCCCTAAATTTATCCGTTAGTAAAAGTAAAACGCCTTTAAAGCAATTCGGCCATGTCTTTGGATAGTGCCAAATGAATATCATCTTAACAAAATTCCACCAAATCCTTGGTTTTAGTCTATTAATATTTTCCAATTATAAAGGTATGTCCTAATTCGAAGATTCGTTCGGGATTCATTGATCTTGATATAAGATAATAACAAATGTTAATTAGTTGAACTGAAAGTAATCGCAGGATGAAAAGGTCAAAACCGATTCCTTATAATGATCTTGTGTCTAGGGGTGTGGTCAAATTTTTTTGTGTCAATTGACCGAAATAATTTAAAATATGCCATGAAATTTATATTTATTTATTTATATTGCGTGTTGGGTGGCGGTGGCGTCGTTCTGGGAACCAAATGGAGTCGATATTATTATTGGCATTCCCCAAATGGCTAAGTATCGTATTCGGATATTCCTCGTAGTCAAACTGAACATCACAAACGCATAATTTATTATAAAATACATATTGTTTTTATTAAATAATGATAGATAACACTCTACAATTGCAAGATGTTGTTTAAATATTATATTATGCAACAAGTGCGGTAAACGGCATTTGACTCACGAGTTTATTTGACACGAGCGAAGCGAGTGTTTAATAAACTAGGTGAAACATGGTTGATAAACACGACACTGTATCCAAAGGATGGCTTGATTCCACTGAAAACTGCAAGACGAAAGCACCTTCAAATAAAGGAAAACGCATCACCGTATACACGCTGGGTCAGAAGACGGATTTGTTCCAAACTGCTTGCTGTTGTCTGCAAACCATATTACGGATTCCAGCTTGGCCTCACTTTTTGAAAATTAGTTTTAAAACAATCTTGTAAAAAATATTCCCACTAACGGTGGGAATATTTTTGAATATTTGGGGCCATGGATAACCAGCACCAGCCTCAAATTCCATATGATTGCATGTTTAACCAGATAGATCTATTATGGAACCAAGTAAAATTAAAGGTCAGAGCAGAAAATGCTACTCCTTTAAGTCCAAGTGTTACAAATTTGATAAAAAATGTTATTAATCACATACCAATTGAGAGCTGGAAATATTCAGTACATTATAACAATTAAATACATTTCTATACAAAACAACATAAATGACCACTCTCATTGCGAAACGGAATTAGATTTAGATATTTAGAATAAAAATGTAACTAAGTGTAGATATTTTTAGTGTAATTTAATAGGATTATACCCACCTAAATAAACAAAAAAAAATTACAAAAAGCCTTTGAGAGTGTAATGTTCCGTCCTTTAGTACCTAGCGGAACCGAGTGTTATTGCCGGCGGCAGGTAACTTCCAGAATGGCGGACAAAACCCAGCAGTAGTAGAAAAGTAGAAATCTCTTGGCAATTTCTATACGGTCACCAGATATTTTTGAAGTAATTGGCAATTTCTCTTTTGACCGACGTCATTGGGTGAATTTTGATTTGGTTGCGTTCACGCCCAAAATTGTTCGAAATGTGACTAGGTTAAAAATGATAATATAGTAAATAATTTACCATTTATAATTATGTTTGTTTAAATATATATTTTCAAATGTTTAAATAAGTTTACAATCAAAAAGAAAATATTAGTTTGTATGATTGTGGGATATTATGTATATATGTATAATTGTTAATAGTATTATATTTTTAATTTTTGAAAATTATTATTTAATTTACTGCATAATTTTTTTTTAAAATAATAATTAAATCTTGCGAAAATAAACCTATTAAATATAATCGAAATAACGCAACAATACCGCAAGTGCAAAATGTTGATGGGGATGAGAATCGCAGATTTCACGGAAGTGGCAATCTACGCAATAATTAATACAGGGTAAATAATAAACGAATCGAGGGCAGAAACTCGGCAAAAACGCTTGTGCGTCCGGGGTAACAAAACGGCTTTGCAAACATTAAATTTATCGGGGGTAATTTATCACTATTTTCGGACAGTTAGTGTCGGCCGAAACAATTTCGAGTTAAGCATCGGGCAAAGAAAAAAAAAAACGGCAAGTCCTTGGAGGCGCTTTGCTTTCGCTTCTTCATTCAGATTTATGAAGCGGCGAGACAATACAATCTAGATCGAGCTCAGCGTTATACATTAACTGATATACAACGAGCAGATTCCCAGGCAACACTGATCGGATTTTTCTAGGAAAAGGTCTATTTTACATCCTGTTTAAGATTGTACAGTACAAGTAAAATATTTTAAATGTAAGTGAATTGCTTTTATGAGATTTTATACTTTATTATATGATAATAAGTTGGAGTTTTGGGTAAGAAAAAATAATCGAGTTTCAGTGGCTGCTCTGAGAATTATATTTGATTCTTTAAGTGGAACTAATCTTAGCAAAGAAATAATGAATCCGGTTTTTTTTCTGGCTTAAAAATTAGCGTGGCAAAATTATACGCAAAATATTGTTTTTAATGAAGCTCTGTGCTCAAAAACAAATGCTACCATTAAAAATTCGTTCCTGCCAATAAAGTAAAGTATACATGCTTTAAACTTAATGGTATGGTGTAATATGGACATGCTTCTCGAAACTCTATCACAGAAACAAAATTTTAAGAGTGTTTTTTTGTCTTTTATTGAAGTTCAAATTTTATGCGCACCACTAGGGGGCAGCCGAGTACTAGAGGCTCAATTCATTGAGCCCGAGAAACTTTCCAAATTCCTTCTAATAATGTTCTACTTCTCCGAGAATATATAGGACAGGAACGCAGATAGAATAGGTATAAGAAAATGCCTTAATAATTGAAAGTGTATATGAGTGGTCGAAGTTTATCATCCAACAAAGAATGATATAGTTCCTGGTAGAAATGAAAACACTAATAACATTCGTTTATAACCAACTAGATGGTTACAAAACTTCAAGTTACAGGATCGGTGGACATATATTCCAATATATATTGAAATATGTATTAAAATATATATGCAATTAAATATATTCTATAACACTTGGGAAGTGTTACCACTCGAGTTCACAAAATAGCTGGGCGTCAATGTCAGAAACGGGGTGTATTCTCCCGGGTGTACAAAATAAATACATCGCCATTTGAGTTTGCGACAGACTTTATCCAAAAAAAAAAATCATAGAGCATGTCAAAATTGTATCGTATTTGATTAGGAAGTTAATTCAAATAGCAGAGGGTTCCTACAAAATCAATCTGGTCTGGCGTTATTGTCCACATGCTCTCCCATGCGCACAAAGGGGTGGTTAAAAGTTCGCCCCCGTCAGAAAAAAAGAGTTGACGGCACAATGAACGGGGTTCGAAATATACGCGTAGGGCTTACCACTCACATAATTATCATTGTTGTGGAGGTACTTTTGTACGGACGCGTATATCGAATTAACAGAGATGTTATTATCCCCCAATTTTTGCCACTTTTTTTTTAATTTCAAAATGTTTTGCGTCGTTCAACGACATTTAAAATTAAAAGATTAATGCATCAATCTTGTTTATTTTAAATGTATATTCTTTTAAGGCATATATCACAAGTTTATATTATTTATTTATTTATATCATTTATCATATCAGTATTCAAAGTGAATCCTTACACCTCTGTATTTTTCAACTCTTTCGTTGACTCTCTCAAGCCTTTTTATTTTTAATTGTATTATTTATTTTATTATGTAATTTTTGTTGCAATTTTGTTTATTATTAGTATTGAGATAATAACTTATTTTAAGATTTTCTGTTTATTTTTGTATAACGAAGTATAAATTTAAACAAAATGTTTGAATTTCATTTATTAAAATAGGTCGTCCTGTTCTAAATTTGTATAGTTTCTTTTCTATCGTCGTGCAACTTGTTTTTTTTTTGTATTTCAGTGTGATTTTGTACTAACATCAGCTCCTTAAAGAAAAATCTAAAAAAATTACGAAATTAAATATAAATGAAAAAATATATTTGTTGAGTACTCGACGACAGTCACTCAGCGTGATTTCTGCCCCCTATCGATATATTTTTCCGTTCGAAAGTTAACAGGAGAGGGGTGTAGTGGGGGGGGGCTACATTTTACGCTGTATATTCTT